CCCCAAATCCCCAAATTCCCAAATCCCCAAATCCCCAAATCCTCAAACTCCCAAATCCCCAAATCCCTACACCCCCAAATCTCCAAATCCCCAAACCTCCAAATCCCCAAATCCTCAAGTCCCCAAATCCCCAAATCGCCCAAATCCCCATCCACAATTCCAACACCCCAAACCTCCCCCAAACCCTAAAGCCTCCAAAAAGTGCCCCTCAATTATTCGACAATTAAACCCAAGAAAAGGATTCGCCATTAATAGAAACCATTTGCTTAATTAAACTCTAAATCAGCAAACTGGAAGTCTAATATTCGCGTAATTTAGTTCTTATCGACCCGGCAACCAACAGCGAACGCAAGCGCTAACCGTTCGACCAATCGATTAATCGCCGTCTCAGAAACAGCCATTCGATCTACAACAGGGTTGAAACTCGATCTCGAACTGTCGCCAATCTCGCAGACGATCTTCGAAACAATTAATCTCAATTTGCGGAGTCTCTTACCTTCGGGCTGGTGGGGCGCGTAGATGTTCAGGTAGAGGCAATCCTCGCTCTGGTTCTTCAAATAAGGCAACAACTTCTCCAGGTACTCGTACCTGACTGGTCTCACCTCGTCTCGTAACTTTGGCACCGTTTGCGGACACACGGGAGCGAATTCCTCTGATTGTCTGACACCCCGCCATGCTTCCGGTGACCTCGGTGGGGAGAATCTTAGCGAGCCAACTGGAGGCTCCGCGTATGGCACTCCTGGAACACCGGTATCCTCGATTGGTAATTTGCTGGGATTAGGTTACGTCTAATCGAGTGAACTATGTACAATTGAAGGACATTCGGAACTTTCAAAAGTTTAGATTTGTTAGGTCCATTCGAAGTTGATGGACCGTGCAGTTGGAACTCGAACATTTTAGCACTGAAGTTTGGGGACATAGTTCTCTCAAAAGTGCCCGAAATCTCAAAGTTTCACACATTAAAAGCTGCAGAGAGCATTTTGAAATTCTCTAACTCTCAAGACTCGGATCTCATAAATCTCAAAGGCATAATAATTCCGAAGACCGAATGAACATGGAATGATCATTCAGAATTTGAAACGAGGTAAAGTTAGCAGCATCCCTACAACGGTCGACTTCATCGGTTTCGCCGGCTAAACTATATCTGTTCTACAAATTGAAGTAGTTCTATCCCGGATCCCCGGGTTACTTCAATTTCTTCGCTTCCCGGAACTATTTCCACTTGGTCGTGAAAGAAACGTATCGCGAGAGTCCGCGAATCGATGCCAAGGAATGCCGGGGAACTCGAAGAGAGTGCACGTAGAAGCGTGCACGCGCGATGCAGCGTGACGGCCAAAGAGGAAGAGGGGACGTTTATTCCCGAAATAGCACACTTCTCGTTTCGGAACCTTTGACGTATCGAGATCCCCGAGAGGTAATGCGAGAGAAAAGCTGATGCAGCTGCGAGCAAACTTTTGCCCGCTGACCAAAGTTCAACGTATCGGTAGCCGGAAACTGGAGATCGCGGTGTGTTATCGCTCTCCAGCTTGCGGGAATTCGATCGAGGAAAACTGGGATCGTCGTGATTGGGCCCCAAACTTCCAAACTTTCTGCGCGGGACGATAAAGCGATGATTGTGAACGGATTTCAATAGCGGTGATTGATTCCCCTCGGGAGCTTCGAGCACCTCCGGCTCATTTTTTTTCGGGTTTCATACGAACGGGGAATTGTAATTGGTACTTGGACCCTTCTGAAACATTTGTTGCTCTTGCTGATCGATTTCTTTCGCTACACTGGACTTCGAGTTTCGTACAAAGATTTCTTTTGTTAACTCTTGATTGCCTCGGTCGATGACATGTACTTTATATCTTTTGTACAGTTTATTCGATATTTATATTTTTTTATTAAACCTGTACAACTTTATACTAAAGCTAAGATGCCGAAAGTCATACTAAAAGTCTGAATTGCACAGACATCAAACAGATATAATAATACTGAAGTTCATCAAGTACCTCACAGCCCCAAATTCATAAAAATAAATTCCTACATTTCCTAAATGTAGATTTTCCAATTCTACAAACCGCAAGTTTCCAAATTTCCAAAACTTACCCAAGAAGACGTCCACTAACTGCAGATCACGGCTGGTCCTGGGTTGCACCACCATGCCCCGCAGACGTCCTTGCTGCACCCGCACCTCCCTGGTAACCCGTTCCGGAGGATCCAGGAACCTCGAATGATAACCATACTGCGGTCTAGGCTCATAAAAGTCACGGTGCTCCGTAAGGATTTGGGTGCAGGCCAGCAACACGAGACCCACCAGTTCCAGTCGCAGCATCCTCGACATTTGTTCGAACGTTCGACGCCCAGGAAGTATGGCAATGAATTTCTCACCGATATACCGGGTCGTGGTGCGGTGTAAAAATAATTCTTCTCCGCTTCTTCCGTTCTTGCACCGACTGCAAGGAGGGGAAGCGTTCCTAGATTCTAGTTCGACTTTCACGGACGAAACTGTTTCGAGACTTCTCGAGAAAAGGTGGACCAGATTTCTGTAGAGGTGTGCCAAAATCGGTCGACGTCAGCTGGTGTGCCACCACGTGCGCGCGTGGCTCACATTTTCGACGTTGCTGATACGTTTCGTTCATCCACGACTTTCTGCTATCACATTTTTATTCTATTGTGCTATCATTTTGGTAGAGTCTGATAGGTAGATACCTTTGTAGGCAATTGTCACAATTTTAATTGTAGTAAGTGGCTGGCAATTTTAAGATCGTTGCACGGGTAGACGGGTTTGATTATTCGATGTTATCCTTCAGATATTATTTCTGATAGCTGTTGCATCGATCTAGTGTTGAATTGCAGCTGTCAGATATTAGCAACACTGAGTCATAATCTATCTTAGAACAGACTATTCACAGATTACCATTTCTTCAGTACTCTATCAGCAATAACCACTGAACTCTGGTTAAGTGTAGTCTTGAAGTCATTAAGATTCGCAGATCATCAGACTTGCAGTCATCAAGTCAGTTAATTACACATCTTTTTAACATCACTTCACACAAATGTTAACCTCCACAAAATTCAAAGTCACAATGAACCTCCAGAATCACTCAATGTTCACAAAAATTGATCTCCCTGCAGTGTGGAGCGCGTTCAAAGCTCGTTAAAGCTCGCACCAAGCGTCGTGACACTGCACTGGTTCGACACAGGCTCTAAATCGGTAACGGTGAAATAAAACGTAGAGATCGCGGTCTCCAGTTTCAACGTTTGAGGCGACTTCGCGCAGGGGCCGTTTTAAATATAGTTGACAACCGTTTCGAAGCAACGACGGTTTCAGTTTCGCGCTACACGTCGGCCAGTCCGATGCCGATTACAAGAAGCTGCTCCTCCAGCGGGATATTCTTGGGCGGAACAAGGGTGAACGCACGTGCTAAGGAAGACGAAGAGGAACAAGAACGACACTCTATTTTAAACCGAAATTGAACGGCCCTCGTGTTGGTAAACTTTGCGCACATTTGCGGAACTTCAAATACCTTTTGCAGATCATTTTATATACTCTAATTTTTTTGTTAGATGACTTATTTGACTTTTATCTAAGACCTTGTAGACAATGATTATATTTACAATTAATTTTGTAGATTATATTTTGATGATTTATATGACTCATGTTATGTGACTTTTATCTAAGACCTTGTGGACAATAAATAATTTTGTGGATTATATCTTAATGATTTTGTATTTTTCCTAAAATTGTAATACATCTTCTGTCACACAAATACTATTTTCGCTATTTATCCACGAACCCTAAATGCTTGCTCTAAAATTAATTGGAAAGTTTAAGATTTAAACGTGAAGTCTTAATTGCAACCATACGAGATTATTTTAGTGCTGATAAATCATCAAAGCGATGTCTGAGAAGTTGCGATGTTCAGAAACTTGTTGGAGCAACAAAATTCAAGTTTATCATAGATTTAATATTCCCAGCGACGTTTACGAAGCCCGACGATGATTTAAGCCTTTGATACGTTCAAACTTGGTGATATAAATACGTGTTTCTAAACACGAAGTTGTAGCGGAAGGAATAATTACGAGAAGCGAATTTTACGAGAGAGAAAAAACGGTCGACTTCGAAAACGAAGCGAGGTGCGAAACGTACCGAGGATGGTTTCAAATTTACCCCATTCACCGTCCTCACAAAGCAGCCATCAAAAGAGCTTCCGTTTCACCGTGAAAATCATTCGACAAAATTTACGGAAAAAAGCGCGGCACGCGCGCGGTCTCGCGCGAGCAAACAGGATTATCCGGCGTGAAGTGAAACCGGTGCCGTTTTAACGCCCGTTTAAAAGCGGTCAATAGCGTTAAATTATGAATACCCGTAATTTGCATCCTGTCTAATTGTTCACCGAATAACATCCTACTCTTTTTCCTCATTTTTTTTTTCACCGAGTCAACCGCCAAGCGCTATGCCCTTTACATCCGCGCAAACCGTGTTACTTTTCACCTAACCAAACGGTTTCTCGACCTGGAATATCGAGTTCGTGAAAGCGTCTGAACTTTTTCGATCCAGCGACGCCTTTGAGGACTTCGTAAAATTTCACGGATCGACCAGATTTCACGGATAAGAAAGTGAATCAGGTGATCGTGTTTGTAGATCGACGAACGGACGATAGACTTGCTTTCGTCGAGTATATTGAACTTTTGGCTGCCCTTGCGTGGCGGATATTCTTAGAACGCGCTGCTGTTCTTGTCTCTGCTCGTTCAATATTTCTTGAATATCATAGCAAAGATGCCGGTGTAATGGACTTTAGTTATATTGCGGCGGTTTTTTGATTTATGGGTGACGTTATGCGTTCTAATAATTTGTGATGTTATGTTGGATTGGTTGAGGTACATTAGAATATGTTTTATAAAGAATTCGAGTGGAGACAACACGTAGGAGCACATATGAACAACGTACGAATACATATGAAAACGTGTAGGGAACACAACGCGGAAGGAATACAACAGTTGCACACAGCGCATGAAGAGAAGAGTATGTACAAAATACGACGTGTTGGGAACAGAACGCGTGAAGATTGTAGTGTGTGGAGAACACAACGCATGTGTGAATGTCGCATATGAGAACGCACCGGTAGAGCAACGTGTAGAGCACACAACGCTTGAAGAACACAGCGCATTAAGAACACATACACAGCGCGTCGAGAACACAACGCCTGAAGAACACAGCGCGTCGAGAACACAACGCATGCAGAACACAGCGCGTGAAAATGATAACGTGTGGAGAACACAACGCATGTGTGAATATCGCATATGAGAACGCACCGGTAGAGCAACGTGTAGAGCACACAACGCTTGAAGAACACAGCGCATTAAGAACACAGCGCATACCGAACACAACGCATTAAGTTCACAACGTAATACGTCATCTAACGTATGACAATACAGCAACACCCATTATCTCCATATTATTCAATGCGTTATAAGAAGGTAAACTTTGACGAATTCTTCAAATTGTGAGAAAGGAATGTTTCCGCAAGTTCCGCCATAAAAGCGCAGATTCCAAAAGTTGAATCTACAAGAATTTTTCCAGTAATTACCGTTTCTGACCATCACAGTTAGCAGAACTTCGCCGATTTCGAGCAAAGTGTAGATTTAATAATTGAACATTGCGGTTCTCAGAAATCGCGGAAACGTTGAATCACGAATTTCACGTTCACTATCGTCTCGATGGTACTCGCGAGTGGACTGAGTCCGTAAGTGCTAAAATTAAATCGAGAACTAGTCGAGGAGGAAGCGCCGCCGGACGGCCGTCTTACAAGCTGAAACTTTTATTTTAGAAATTTCGTACGTTTACCTCGTGCGAATTTACGGAGCTTGTTGTTCGTTTTCATTTGTGGAAATTATGGGCGAACTTCGTAAGGATGATCATTAAGATTTCTGATAACGAACGTCATTATCTTCGCGTGATCTCGGAACTCAAGGTTCCCGTCTTTGATCGAGTGCAATTTAATTTAGCTTAATCCAGACGTCCCCTTTCTTTTGAATCTCGCTAGGTCCAAGTTAAACATTTTATCTCTAATGGAATTAGCATACACGGTCGGGGACCTGGAAGTATTTGGATTAAATGAAACACCGGTTTCTCAAGCTATGTTTATCGAGATTAAGATAATTGAAGTGGACCGGATCGCGCAATCAACTGCCGCTTAAAGGAAATGAAAATTATCAAACGCCTCGGGCTTCGACTTTGTCTTCTTTAATCAACCTCTGCGCAGAGCTTTTCATATCTACGTCTGAACGAGCAAATATCGTTCGAGGAAAGAATTGTTTTTATATAGAGAATTATTATCTCACCGGTGAAACGACATAAACAAAATAACATGCGGTTCTAAAAGTCACAAACAAGATAACAACCTAAACTGAACGATTTCGTGTGTAACAATTATTATAAAAAAATATTCGCATAGACTATGTTTTAATGCAACTTCAAGTGTGGATGCAAACTTGCAGATTAAAAAATTGTTGAATGACGAAGGTTTAGGAAATTTGAAGTTCTGGAAGTCTAGCAGCGGAGTGTACAACGACGTGTTAAAGCAACGATAAGAAAACTAAGAGATACTCGAGGTGAGACTTTGCTCGATGAGTCCACTTCAGCAACGTCTCATTTGCGTTAATGAACTTACTCCGGAGACGCTTACAAAAGTGTATGGAAACAAAGATCCGGATAAACTTAACGTCCAGTGGAAATCAAAACAATCTCTTATTTAATTAACAAATTAGCATCCTGAAGGGTATTTTAAAGAAATCTTTCGTCTCAGGATAAGCTTCATAAAGAAGCTTTTCATTAAACCTGTATTTAGTTGATTGAAATATTTTTTTGCGTGGCGATTGTCCCCTAGATGGTTAAATATTAACCCATATTTTTCTGAACAGGTCAGATTAGCTTGTAATATGACGTCCTTCAACTACTTTCAAACTTTTAATTAATTCACTCGTCTATTATTTTAATCGCATCGTACTTTCAGCATCAACTTCATTTTTCATCGAAATATCAGGAACTTTTAATTGGTTCAGTAAATAGTACCTTCAAGTTTAAACCTTTTTCTGAGCCTCTGACGAAACTCTTTAACAATTATAAACATGGAAATAATGAAGCAATATTTACAGTATAAATATGTTGTGCACACACATATTTGTGGGCCGAGAAGGGATAATCGAAGAAAGCTAGTAAACAAAGGAGGGCAACCCTCTTTCCTAGATTCCTTTCTTCTCTTTGTTCGTTCCACTCTTCACAACACCCGCGTCAATATTTAACGACGCTTATCATATTACAAACAACGATCTGAATATCTAAACCAGGGGTTCTCAAAATGAACACTGAAATAACCTGTGATCCACAAATATTCTACAAGTATTTCATATAATCGAATCAATGTGTCAGATTATTTTATTACAAAAAATGTCATCTTCTAATTTTCAATTTTGAACACAACAAAAAAGTTCTTAGGAAGAAGATTGAGAACCACTGCTTTAAGTAGTTCAGAAATCGAACATTGCGGAGAAGAGTCTGTCTCGTTTAACCACGATCGAATGTACAATTAATTCGAATGCACCGTCCCATCTTAGCAATTTCCGCCACGGGACTTTTCAATATTTTCCAGCTGCACCGGAGCGTACAGCACCAACACAAAGACGGAACGAACGCATTGTTTCCCTGGTTATCGATAACGGAACGAACCACGGCGAGATGAAGATAAATAACTTGCAGCGTGTAAACGGTCCGTTCGCGATGCACGCCAATCCCCAGGGATTTTGTCCTTCTTCGAAAGTAGCCCGTTCATTCCTCCCGGTACTCGCCCAACCCTCT